TTTTATTTATATATGACCTATAACAAAGTAACAAAAATAACATAGAAGTTATAACACAAAAATATATAAATGAGAGCATGGTAAAAGTTTGGCCCGCATCATATTTACATTTATAAAATCTGGCCCTCAAAGAAGAGTGGTTGAAGACCCCTGGCCTATGCAGTGTCCCAGGCTTGATTATGAAGATTGGTGGATAAGTGTAAAGTGGGACAAAGGCAGAAAAAAGAAAGTTGGTCCAGCCCTTTTTCTGCAAATGTTTTAATGTGCGGTGTTAAGCAACTTTAACGATTTTAATTAGTTTTGCATCACTAATCTTGACGGACTATAATGTGGAGATTCTATGCCACCTCTGTATGTGAATCTAGGAGAAATACAAATGTACAATTCAATAATGAAGCAATATATAACTCTCCTTTGATTGTAACACAAACATGCATTTCCGTAAAGCTGCTTTGGAATGATATGTCTTGTGAAAAGCACTGTACAAATAAATGTGAATTGAATCGAATCCCTGGTATTGAAAACCTGAAATTTTTATTGAAAAAAAAAAATCACATTTAAAATTTTTGAAGGACCAGTAAATCCCAATTAAATATATTTTCTCCCTTTTGTTGTAGTTTAATGTGTCACATCACTAAGGAATGGTATCAGGAACTGGTAATAAATTGATACAGGTTCCTGACTGAGCAGTACTAAAATATCAATAAGCAGGTGCTGCTGTCATTATTTATGTAACGTTGATTCATTACTTTCTAGATATGGCCACATAGCAGGCATTTTCAAATTCCTAACCATTCTCCTATTAAATTGTGAAGTTGTCATACGTTTGACATTGCGCAACTGCGTGTTTACATTTTGTGCTGTCCAGTCATAAGTGACAGAGCAAAACTACAGAAAGTGTGGGCTCACTTTCAATACATTTAAAACACTTACAAATATAACATTCTATAAATCTAAAGCAGTGCACCATGGTTGACTGCTTTAGCAAAGTGATTGCTGCAACTAACAGTTTCCTTACCAGACTCAAACTCAAATTAAACCGTTTTAATATTATACTAAGCACAAACAAGTGTGTTGCATGGCAATGATTGAATCAGTCACTGTGTAAGGACCCACCTGCAAGCCCAAAAAGCGGAATCCAGCGGCCTGGTCGAAGGTTTAATGCGTATTCGGTCTTTTACTTGCGCTTCTGAATTTATCAGGACTTAGTTTCAATTTTGTCTAGCTCCGTTTTCAATCTGACTCCAATTTCACGTGATCATTAAATTTAGGCAATATTTCTAATCAAAAGCTGATCACAGATATCGATTGTTTATTAATTTAGATATTTGAGTATTCTGTAAATCCCATACTTTCAATTATTCGTTCATCAGGGACCCAATGCCGCTCAGAGATACGCGCCCCGGGGTTTGCGGTAAACTCACGGACGGAAACTAGCCAGTCTGATGTTAGTCAGAGGGTGTAATAAGTTAGCTAATACCTTTTTGTCGGTTGCCTACTGCTCACTCTTACAAAAAGTGTACTTAATTTAGCCACTTCCATACATCTTGCTAAATCAGTGATAGACAGAAATCAAAAGGTCTTCAGATGTGGCATTTCTCTGTCAACTTTTAGTGACCTGGACCATGTGCCCAGGGGGGAAGGATGGGTGAAGGGACTGAAGAGCAGATGGTCTTTCTTCCAGATCTTCCTATCTTGATCAAAGCCCATTGTTTCTGAGTGTTTGGCTTTACGAGGAGATCAAAGCCCAGTGTTTTGTGGCATGGCATTTGCACTGCGAGAGTGTTTGGCTTCACAAAGAATTTATTTTATAAAGAAATAATTTCACTCCTTTCAACTGATTATTTATTTTGAATAAATATTTCTCTTTTTTTTTTTTTTTTACACTTCGTTGCGAGTGTGAGGCAGCAGTGCACTTGCATATAGAGCCTGCCAAAAAGCTCTTCTGATTTGCTGTTATTTGTGATTGATTTTTGGCATTTGTGTCAACATGCAGTTATGAGGCTTTTGCACAATTGTCTTATAATCATTTATATCTCCATTCTCTTAACAGAGCTTCCAGCAGTAGTGACAAAGTTGAAAAAAGTGATTGGACAAATCTCTCAGACCTCATCTCCTGCATCCACTGTGCAACACCTTCAACACCTAACAGTTTCTGCATGTGTTTCTCCTCAAGTGCTGTTTGGTGATATAGTAACTACCACACATGCATATAAGCATTTTGGTCCATGTGGGAAGATGATTATACAATGTCCCAGTAAATCAACTTTTTGGTAATTATACACATTACCTGAAAATTCTGCATATTCAACTGTATGGTGGTGAGTGTGCATGTTAAGTGGTAATTATGAATATTGCCTGACCTCAGGAAAACTAGGAAGCATTCCCATATTTCCCTATGGCCAAACTCTCTCTTACATTGCACAGGAGCATTTTGCAGCGCTCGTTAATTTTATTGGGAAATGTGGGAATGTCTCTCAAATTTCCTGTTTAGTTGGGGAATAATAACTAGTCATTTGCATTAATGCACAGATGATGAATAGGTATATATCCCAGGGAATGTGTTTCATTATCTTCTCATTAGTTTAGTGTCTAACAACAATGTATAACCAATTGCAAACTAACTGATCACTCTGTTATTTTTCAGGTGTTTCTCGTGCCAGGTTTGCAGTCTGCAGAGAATTAAGCTTTCGCTTGGGGACCTTGAAATCACCAAGGTCGCCAAGCGAAACCTTAATTCTCTGCGGACTGCAAATCCGTCAGTGTACATTGGGGACCTTGCTGTGCTTGTCTATGACAGGGAAACTCTGTCTCATTCAAGTTTGACAGGGAAACAGTCAGGGACACACAAAGACATGGAATCAAAGCCACAGATTGATAGCACGAAACTTGATGCTGTGCTTGGTGAGTGCATTTAATTAGGGAAATTTCATTATAAAATAAAAAATAAATCCTACACATTACTCATAAACATTTATTTATTTATATTACAAAATTACAGTATGTTTGCCATTGTAGGTGACAGTGATTGGTCCATGTTGGAGGACTGTCACCTCCAAAATGGACCAAAAAAGGAACATTCCAAACATTTTGTGAAAACCCTGTAATCTATAAAAGTCTAATTTGGGATCATTAGTTTTTATTTGTGAATGTCACAAAAGAAAAAAGAAAAATAAATCACACAATGCTACAAACAAAAGAACCAAGGCTACTTTTTAATGATGCCCAAAAAATAACCCTAATTTATGTGAAGTTAGACATTTAAATGACCTTTTCGGCTGTCTTTTGGCAAATATAGCAGTTGTGATTGCATTAGTGTTCAGAAACCTGAACTTGAATTGCATATCACTATATGCTACTTTGACTATTGTTTTATTGTGTTAGTTTTGGATGATGAATTTGGGGTGACAGAAAAAAAAAAAGTTTGTTCTGTTTGTGTATGTGAGTGTGTTGTAATTCACAGACCATGCTCTGTCAAAGTTCCCTGACATCACCATGAAAGATGTGAGACACATCATAAGGAAAAAAAATGCAACAACCAAAACCACATCAAGCAAGCTACTGCAAAGAAACCCATATGAATAGAACGTTGTTGTCATATTTTTGAACAATTTTTGGATTTGTGTTCCCTCCAGGGACTGATTTCTTGCATGACCCTACCCTTAAACATTGTGTTTACAGTTTTTTGAGCAGGGGTGTAAATTTGACTGTCATTGTTATTTTAAGTTTATGTGGAATCCAATACAATAGATTTGTTTGAAATTATGGATTTATAAAGAAAACTTATGTTCGTAATTCTGAGTATGGGATTTTTTGTGTGGTCCACTGATATAAGATTTTACTTCAAATTTAAAGTACAATTAAAAGGTACATGTCAAGTATAAAAAATAATAGGTAAATAGGAACATTGTTCTGCACTGTAAAACTTTACTGTAAATTTACAGGTAATTTCTAACAGTATTGTACTGTATTTTCATACAACAGTATCATACTGTATATTTAACAGAATGGCTGTAAATGTACAGCATTTTTCTGTTTTCAGCACGCAAAATTCGTAATACAGTATCAGGCTGTAAAGGCATTGCATTGTGGGATTGATTTCCTTCGCGCTCAATTTCTTTAAAATGTGAGCAGAGCCACATTTAATTTGTTAGTGGGATATTCACATGAACACAATAGGCACAACGTTACACATGAAGACGCCAGTCGTTTGTGAATTTTAAAGTTTTAAACTTTGAGCAGCGAGTTCACCTTTTAATCTATAGCTGCCTGTGACGCTTAATTATAACTACAACATTGTGAGACTAACGTTATACCGACGCGGCAAAAAAATGAGAGGATGATGCAACAAGAAGACGGGGAGAATAAATTGTGTCTGTGACGAAGAGAAATGAAGTTCGTAGCAGATGGATAATTTGTTGACTGAGCATTGACACGGTAAGACATTGTTTTATTCGATTGCATTGTTTTATTCGATTGAACTGTTTGCACGAGTGGGCTGATTTTGGGAATGATGGCGTTGTCATTCCACACCGACAAACGCTACCAAACAGACAGCACACGACACGTTCATCAAGTGTTTTTTGGATCGATGTGTTAATCCTGTCGTTTCGACGATTGAACATGAGAAATCGAAATTATAATGCCCGAAATGTGATGTGCTCTATGTTGCTGTCTGTCTGCGCGTTGTGAATTTGCTTAGCCTGTAACGTTACACGTTTGTTAAAATCCGAGTGAACAGTTCAGTCTGTTCTCAACTATTCACCAATTAACTTTGATATTTCTTTTAAAACGTAAACATGTATCATGCCATTCGCACGACCACAGAAATGTCAGTCGTTTTGTCTCGTAGACCAGGGAGTTCATTGCTTGACATCTCAAGATAAGGGCTACTTGTGCATAAACCAAGACAGCTTACTGGATTACTATCCTCTTCCTGAATACTCTCTGTGTGGCTTGTCAGTAATAGTTCTCCACCATTCTTTCCCAATTCTAGAATAATGTCTGGATTGAAAGAAGTATTGAAAGATGCAGTACTGTCGGTGTTGCCCAGCCTATCTCCAGATGTTACCAGTCAACTGGTTGAGAAGCTCATGAATCAGGGAGTTGAGGGTTTGGATGATTTGATTCATGTAAAGGAAGATGACATTTTGGAGTTCATACGACCTATCCAATGCAGAAAACTTCTTGGTGCCTGGCAAAATCAAGGTAAAGATAAGGTTGTTCAATTAAAAAAAAAAAATGTGATCATTTAAAATGTTACATTGCATTGCAGTACTTTTTATGACTGATTTTTTATTGTATATAATTTACAGAAAATCAAAACCAAACTGTGGTTTTGCAACCGGTTGAGGTTCTCCCATTGGTTCCCTCTGAAGCCAGCACTACTCCTGATGCACCTCCATCAAGCTCCTCAAGCACATCAGCAAGCAGTCCAGGATCAACCGGTGTTTCACATTCATGGCCTGAAAATTTCAAAGTTCCCTGGAACTTAATGCCTGCAGGTATACAGAATGCTATTGAGAATGGCCACAGACCTTCCCCAGCTGACCGACGACAAATGATTAGAATCCTTGCTGATGAAATGAGAAAACATGAAGAAAACCCAACCAGATCACAGTGTCTTACTGTTACTCGCCAAATAGTCAGGCAGTATACAAAAACGTTTGCCGACATGGTAGGTGACAGGCAGATTGGGGGTGGATATGCATCTCTTCTGACACAACTGAAAGTACGTATAGAGCATCTGAATCGAAAAAGTACACTCAATCATCATAGGACCCAAAGGAGTGAAACTGGAACTACTAAAAAACGAAGTTCCACTGATTCATATGGCTGTACAAGTTGGCAGCCTACTCTTCCACCTGGTGAAAGTTACGAAAGTCTTGAAGTTAAGCGTCAAAAGATGGAGGAGATACATCGTCATGAGGGAATCTCTGGAGCACAAAGCGGGGACGTTTGTAAACTCATGGAGGAGACCTATTGCCTCCAGCGTCAGATGATCAATGAAATCCCATCCCCTACAATTGCAGATTTAAGAACCAAATGGCCGTATCTCTTCACACAAAGGCATATATATGGCCATTTTGAGATGCTTACTGACAAAAAAGAGCACAGACTTTTGGAATTGTCTATTCAGGAGGGTGGACCAAAAATTTGCCAGTTTTTTAAAGACAAACCAACTAATGAGGAAGTTCGGAATACACTCTCCAGTAGTGAAAATGATGTTGCTGCTATGGTCCTACAACTACTACTTGCACACTTCAAAGAGAAATTAGATGGTCTTATCCTTCAGACAGATGTAAGTAGAGATTATTTAACATGTCACATTCATTGCAGCATGTTTTATCTTTTGGTTCTGTTGATGTCGGTTGTACTGTTTTCTTTTACATTTTTTCAGGAATTCGCAACACCTTCAGATGTCCAGCAATCTGTACCTTTGCCAGAGAGTCCATGCCTTATAATTCTTGGTAAGTAAACCTTAGTAAACCTTAAAGCAATACTTCAGGCAGGAAACAAAATTACCCCATGTTTTCCAGATGCACTGTATGTTTAGTGGAATTGTGATTTTGAAGTTAAGCTGACTTAAAGGTTTAGTTCACCCAAAAATGAAAATTCTGTCATTAATTACTCACCCTCGTGTTGTTTGAAACCCGTAAGACCTTCGTTCATCTTCGGAACACAATTTAAGATATTTTTGATGAAATATGAGGGCTGTGAGGCAGTGTGTGGCATGACCCAGATCTGGCGTAATGACGTCCTCACGCCGGATCTGGGTCAGCTCCGCCACACGCTCGCGTCATGGTACTGTCGTGAACGCACGTTCACAAGTGACACTGTAGAGACGAAAATGTGGAATAAAGTCATTATTTTTGTTTCCTTTGCGCAAAAAAAAAGTATTTTCGTTGCTTCGTAACTTTACAGTTGAACCACTGATGTCACATGGACTACTTTGTCGCTCAATGAACGATGTGAGTTCAACGTAACTGTTAAAAGAACTACAGTATAAAGTTTGTGCAGGAAAGTCCTATGTATAAACCACTAAATAACATCACAGAAAAAGACAAAGTAGGTTTTTCAAATGTTTTATTAATCTTTTTTTTTTTTTTTCATTTTCAGGTCAGTCAGAATGGGGCTGGCAACCCAGCTGCCAGTATTTTACTGTAAATTTGCAGGGAAAAGTTTTACAGTACACTGTAAAAAAAATAAAAATACAGCAAGATACTGTATCTGGCAATTACAGTACAATACTGTAAATGTTGTTTACAGTTGTGGTTCTGTAAAAATACAGAATGTGGCTGGCAACCCAGCTGCCAGTATTTTACTGTAAATTTACAGTGAAAAGTTTTACAGTGTGTACTTAAAGTGCAAAAATAATAAATAATAAGTAAACTAAGTATGATGTTAAGTTCACTTAAAGAAAAGTTGTAGTATAAAAGTAGTACTGTAGTAGTTTACTGAGAGTACAGTAAACGAACACTTGCAAGTATACTTGCAGCACAAAAGTAGTAACCTACTAGTTTACTAAGAGTACACTTACAGAACACTTGCAGTATAAGGCTAGTAAACTACTACGGCATGGCCAAAAGTTTTGGCAGTGACAAATTTTGTGTTTTGCAAAGTTTGCTGCTTAAGCTGTTGTGGTGTTCATTCACATTGTTTCTAG